GGTTCCAAAAATAGGCATCAAAGAACATAAGAATATGAAATAGAGCATTTGTTTGCAATGTTTTTAAAGTAGCTGCATCTTTCCTTGGGCTCATACCAGTGGTGGGTTTCAAATTTTTTAGAACATATTCTGTAGGTGTGGCCTGCTTTGTGGGAGTGGTTTGGCAGTCATGTGACTGGGTGGGAGTGGCTTTGCAGTCATGTGACCGGGTGGGAGTGGTCAACTTGTAAAATGTGATGAAACTCACTTAACAACGTTCTTGCTTAGCAACCAAAATGTTGGCCCAGAAACTCTGGCATTTGAAGCACGCAAGTCTTAAAGCTGTCAAGTTACAAGACCCCTGCACCCCTAACCCTTTAGAAAAAACCCTAGGGGTGTTCAAACTTGACAGCTTTAAGACTTATGGATTACAACTCCCAAAATTCCTCCTCCAATCATATTGGCTCAGGAACTCTGGCATTTGAAGTGTACAATTCTTAAAGCTGTCAAGTTACAAGACCCTTGCATCCCTAACCCTTTAGAAAAAAACCCCAGGGTTGTTCAAACTTGATAGCTTTAAGACTTGTGAACTTCAGAATTCCCAGAATTCCTCCTTCCATCACTCAGCTGCTATCACCAGGGTTTTGGGAGGGACCTTCTCTCCCCCTCCATAGAGCCCCATGCCGGGAGAGAGAAAGCGGGCTGGTTTGAATGCTGGCGAGTGGGTGGTTTAGTGGCCAGTGAGTGCCTCCTTCACTTATTTGGGCAGGTGGAGAAAGAAAAGTGTGCAATAGCCGAGGACGAAGGAGCCTGCCACCTGCCTCCTTCATGCATTCGGGCAGTGGGGGTGCTTTCTCGCATGCCTTCTTTCTTTCTCTGCCTGCTTCCTTCACTCATTCGGGCAGGTGGAGAAAGGTGCATGATAGCCACCCTCCGCATTCAAACCAGGCTGCCTCCTCTCTCCTCGCACAGGCTCTCTGAAGGGGGAGGGAAGGTCTCTCCCAACACTTGCTTCCCTTACCTCACGGCGCAGTTCTGGGATGGTGGGATATTCTTTTTTTCTCCAGTATGGGGGTAGCCTTGACGCCTGCCTTCCTGCCGCCTCCAGTCCAGCTCTGTGCAATCTCCCCATCACCCCACTGACCTGGGGACATTCCCGGCTCCAGTTGGCATTCTCCTAGCGATCCTTCCTGGCTGCGCCCCAAGAGCGGTCACATGGCAGCAGTGTGCGGGCTGTTTCAAAGCCAAAGAGCCAGCGCTGTCTGAAGACGTCTCCACCGGCATGACTGAATGTTGAAGATGCACAGAACATTGTTAACTTCCAACCAAATGTGGTTCCTATTTTTTCTACTTGCATTTTTACATGCTTTTGAACTGCTAAGCTGGCTGAAACTGGGACAAGCAACAGGAGTTCACTCTGTTACGTGGCGCTAGGGATTCGAACCATTGAACTTCCAACCTTTCTGATCGACCTCTGTCTCTTAGACACTAAGCCACCATGTCCCACTTCACTACTAGTAGTAATATACTAATTTACCACTAATTCTAGTAGGTATAAACCACTATGGTTTAATGCTACTATATCTCCATCTCTCTGGCTTTCTCCATGCCTCTATAGCCTTACTTGGCTAACGTGAATTACTCACAGTCTCCCTCTTCCCCCAGTCCCTTTGACCTTGCCAGCTGTCCCTCCTACTACTACTGGTAGTAGTGTTTTCAAACTTAGTGGAACTTCTAAGTCTTTCCACCACGTCAAAATGGTAATCCCCTGGAAAGAATATCTACATAATACCATATCTACATGGAAAATCCATTTAAAGATGCTAAATGGTGTTTTTTTTGTTAGTGGTGATGGGGGTTGTTTCCTTATTTCTTTGTTTTGAGTTGTTATCTTTATCTTTGCTCCTTTCAGTTCCTGAAATCCATTAGCAAATTGCCTCATTTAAAGAAAGTATTCACTGAATAACAGCAAGTAGTTCACAAAGAATAGTAAATGGATGGTGAAAATCTTTGCAAAAGCCTATCTCCATAGCAATGTATACTAAAGAGATCATTACTGCAGCAACTGATTTATATCACCTGTTATCACGTTCTTCTTTTTAAAATAAGCATTACCCATTTTTCTGTTCAGTTTTCAAGTTGGCAAGGCAGGAAAGAGTGATGGGGAAAGAGTAACTTCCCAGCAGCTCTTACACATTGCTGTTTTGTGCAAGGCAGATGAACACTTCAAGTCTGGATCTTCAGCAGAAACTGCCATTGCACACAGCAGAAAGGGGCATAGCAGAGGTGGTATTCAGCAGGTTCTGACCAGTTCTAGAGAACTGGTAGTGGAAATTTTAAGTAGTTTGGAGAACCGGTAGATACCATCTCTGACTGGCCCCACCCCCATCTATTCTCTGCCTCCCGAGTCTCAGCTGATCAGGAGGAAAGGGGGATTTTGCAGTAATTTTTCCCTGGAGTGGGAAGGGAATGGAGATTTTACAGTATCCTTCCCCTGCCACGCCCAACAAGCCACACCCAACAAGGCATACCATGCCCACAGAACCGGTAGTAAAAAATGTTTGAATCCCACCACTGAGGCATAGCTTTCCTCTTCCATGAGATGCTACAGAAAGGACTTGGTGATACAGGTAGTCTTCAACTTATGGCCACAACTGAGCCTAACATTTGTTGCTAAGTGAAACATTTGTTAAGTGAGTTTTGCCCCATTTTATGACCCTTATTGCCACAGTTGTTAAGTGAATCAGTGCAGTTGTCAAGTTAGTAACATGGTTGTTAACGGATTCTGGCTTCACCGTTGAAGTTGCTTTTCATTTGATCCTAGAGACTCAGAAAGTTAGTGATTTAATGCCTGGGATGAGTGATGGATCAGATATAAGTGAATAAAACCAGAATCAGAAACAGTCCTACACTCTGCATCAACTGATCCAGAAGAAGATAGGGGGAAAAATCCAGACTAGTATCTTTCCTTAATAATTAGATGTTTGCAGCTTGTGTGTGTGTGTGTGTGTGTGAGAGAGAGTGTGTGTGTGTGTGTGTGTGTGTGTGTGTGTGTGTGTGTGTGT